TAATATTTTAAATATTAGAAATAATATTTTATCTATTAGTGATTTAGGATTATGTAAACCTGTAGATTATTTTCAAAAATCTAAAAATAATGATATTTATGGTATTTTACCATTTGTAGCTCCTGAAGTTTTAAGAGGTAAACCTTATACTTTATCTAGTGATATATATAGTTTTCTATGATTATGTGGAAATTAATATCAGGAGTTCCTCCATTTAATTATGAAGCACATGATCTTCAACTTAGTTTAGATATTTGTAAAGGTAAACGTCCTAAAATTATTGAAAATACTCCTAAATGTTATATAAATTTAATGGAAAAATATTGGGATATAGATCCATTAAAAAGACCAATAGCTTTAGAAATTAAAAATAATATTAAAAATTGGATTATAAATATTATACGTAAAGATTTTGATATTAAATTAAAAGATAATATTATAGATTTTTATAAAGCAGATCAAGTATTAATACATAATCAAGATAATAATTTAAATGATTTGAAAGATCATCCACAAGCATTTCATACAAGTCATTTATTAAATTATACTGAAAGATTAAATGAAATTTTAAATCAAGAAAAAAATGAAATAATATTACTTTCTAAAAGTGAAAGTATAAATTTTCAAATATAATTTAAATAAAATATTATAAAATAAAATTAAGTTTTTAGTAAGTATATTATTATATTTTTAAATTAAATAAATATAAAACATTAAATTATTATATATATATTTAATTTTATAAAAACTATTAATATTATAAAAGTTAAATAAATAATATTAAATTAAAATATTTATTAATTTAGTAATAATAGATATAAATTATATAAATATTTAGCTTTTATAAATATTTTATAGTTATTATAATAAAATAGTTTATAATCATTAAGCTTATTTTATTTATTTAATAAATATTGTATACAAAATAGTTATTATACAAAATTATAATTGTATAATATTTTTTTATTTTTAATAAATTAAATTTATATAATTTATTTAATTTTTTATTGATTTTACCTATATATAAAATGCTATATTCTTCATTATAAAAAAATGTTATCTTTTTTTTCATCAAATACTAAACTTTCAGATACATTACTAGATAATCAGGTAAGTATAGAGGGTTATCATAAGTTTTTGAATGCAACTTTTGGAATACAATTGCTATACAAAAAAGTAATGTTTATTATACAAATACTTTATTTGTCTTAAAAAACATTTCTAATTTCATTTTTTCTTTTTCACTATATTTTTTTTACAAATTGTGGTTACAACTGCAACAATGGGAAAAAAAATAAATTGACTGCAGAATAATGAAGTGCCATATTTTATCTTCATAAAAATAGCAATTTGTATAATCAGATTACAGCAACTATTAGATGTGACAAAAATGCATGAAAAGCAATTCTGAAATGTCTGATCAAAAATTTAGTTGATAGTATATCAGCACGAATTCAAGCAGTGATTACGGTAGAAGGTGACCTAATTAAATACTAGTTTAATAATACAAATATAGGTTTTGATAAGCTTAAAATAAAGATTTAATAAAGTTTTTTTGGTTGAATTTTAAAAATTAAGCATTTTATATTGCATAAAAATTCGTTCAGAAACTTTTAATAACTATTTGTAAATTATATTTATATCAAAATTTTCAGAAATTAAACTAAGGTAATCATCCAGGTAAAATATTACTAGTCTTACTTATATAAAATATATAAAACATTATTGTCTTTTATATAAAAAATATCATGCTTTTTCATCAATCAGATATACCAAGACTTAGAACATGATAATGCTTTTACTGTGCATTTCTATACTCACAAAGTTAATAACAGACAAGTGACAAATTCAAATGATACCCACCTAAAATTATAACTTGATACTTCAAGTTGCTTGTCATTGAAAGATTCATGATACCAACTAATATTAAAATCACATTTGTTCACAATAAAAGAGATCTTATCGTACTCTTGAATGAGTAATATCTCTGATGGAAAAGACTTTTTAATAAACAAAATATGAAAAAATACGTTGGTTGACAGGTTGATTTGAATAATTTGCAATCACAGATTTTCTTTACGAACATGCGAGTACATATCTAATGACTACTGTTATCACTAAGAAAAGAAGAAAAAAAGTTAATGCTCACTTAAAATCCAAAATTTTGTTACCATATTTATTCGCTAGGTGTATTCAAAATGATATTATGTAAATAAGATTATTGTAATAAATGTGAAGAAGACTGATTTTGTCAAAATCGAAAGAGAAATAAATAAACCAGAACTGTTTACACGTACATTTTTATTCAGAAAATCACATGTTCATGTAAACAAAATTTGAAGATCATTGTGCAACTTAAATAATTCTACTAATTTCCAAATTTTATGATTTTTTATATGTGAAAGATATTTTGTTATTTTTTTTCAAGTCAAATGTTGCAAAAAAATGAATGACTAATTTTTACGAAATTTTTGTATTTTATTCTTTAACTTTCTATTATCTGCTTAGATTATGACAGTTTGGGTCTACTAATTCTAAAGGAGGAAGCAGATTATTTACCTTTCTCATAGTCGAAATAAAATTAGTTGTTACCTCCTAATTTTGTAGAGTGGTTTATTATTTAAATGATTACAGTTTGAATAAATTTAACGAGAATAGAAGAAAGTAAAATGTTGTTAATAAAAAAATACAAAGAAAACTGCTCTGTAATAGGTTTATGATTGAATGCATGACATAGATAATACTTGTAATACTAGAAATCATTCATGTATAGTTATAAAGTATATACATTAAATAAAAGAAACATACTATGTATATTATACAGGGAAGGTAATAGCAATAAAATATTCGATAATTCCCTCCATCGTGCAATTATTATTTGAAATGGTAAAATTGAAAAAGATCTCTCTATAACTCATTGTTATTAATATACGAAGAGCTTGAAATACTTTGCGTACAATAAAGTTTATTGATTTTTTTTTACGTAAAATAACAAAAACAACTATGCTTATAATTGTTGAATTCTATTAATCATGACAAATTTTTATAGATAAGCTAGCATTTGGAAGACTAGTTATCAATAACTAGGGATAGGGAAAGTTCCAAATGAAGCGACTCAGAATCAGTTCTAGAACTGAACGTCAGTTTCACTTTTAAGTCAAACTGAGAAGTTAAAGCAGAACAATCAGTTCTAAGAGAACTGACTTTTTTGAGTCAGTTCTATTTAAACTTATAATATTAGTATTTAGTTATTTTAAGATAAAAATAAAATAAGATAAAAATAAAAAAATAAATTTACGACTTGTAATTTTTGTGGTATAGTAATTTTGATCAATAACAGCAATTTTTGTAACAGTAATTTGTAGCACCAATTTTTGTAACAATGATATTTGTATCAGCTATTTTTAAAATAGTAATTTTATAATGACAATTGCTAAAATAATAATTTTGTAATGTCAATTTTTTTTTAAAAATGATAATTATCAAAAAAAAATCTAATTAATTCTCATATTTTTTTTTATTAAAATGGAAGAACAAAAAGAAGAAGCCTCTTCTGAAAGAATATTAAGTAGTGATGAATTCAATCTTAATCAACTTGAGGATAATGAAAATGAGTGGGTAATTAACCTTGATGAAATTAATCCTAATGAATCAGCTAGTAATATTTTAGAGACTAGTCAGGCTTCAAATTCAGAGACAAATATTTCATTAGGAAGTAGTAGAGTGTGGTTGTATTTTAATAAGAATCCAGCTGATGCATTTAGTTATAATGTTTGTAAAATATGTTCAAAAAATATCAAATATCAACAAGTGTATCTTCTTTACGAAAATATCTTCAAACATATCAACTTCAAACACCTACAAAAATACAAAAAATTAAAAATAATATTACAACTTCTTATAATAGACAAGAACAAAATGAATATGATAAATATCTTATTCAATGGCTTATATACGATCTTCAGCCTTTTACTGTTGTTAACAATACTTCTTTTAGAAGTTTTATTAAATTTTTTTGTTTGCGTTATGTTATTCCTGATCAATATAAAGCAAAATGTAAGATTAATTTCATAATTTTTTATTATATTATAATATCATCTAACTTTCTTTTATTTAAATAGGTTTGATTATTAATACTTTTACTATGTAAAGGAATAATATTACCAACAAACTTCATCAAATTGCAGAAAAATTCTCATTAACAGCTGATATTTGAACTTTACAATAAATCAGAAAGCTTTTTTTAGGACTTACAATTCACTATATTGACTCTAATTGGAATCTTTGTAATTTTTTATTTGATATAATTCTATTTACCATTAAACATTCTGGAGTGAATATTGCACAAGAAATTATGTACGTCTTAGAAGAATTCAATATTTCTAGAAAAATTATCGCACTTACAACTGACAATGATTCTACAATGATAGTTTGTGGAAAAGAAATTTTCTCAGCTTTTGATAATGAATTTTCTTCAATGAATTCATATTATCATTGTGCAGCATATATATTAAATTTAGGAGTGAAAAAAGGATTAAAAATAGTCAGTAATTCTATTATAAAAGTACATCAAATAATGTGTAATATTAAAATTCTACATGTCTTTGTGATTCACTTTGTGATTTTTGTAGTTTAAAAAAAATTAAATATCTTAAACCAATTTTGGATGTGAATACGCGTTGAAACTCAATATATTATATATTAAAAAGATTTAAAGAACTTGAATCAGTTTTAATTTTACTTGTAGCTGACAATCCTTCTATCAATAATCTTTATCCTAATAATGATGATTGGAATTCAATTAAGATAAATTAAATTAAAAAAAATAATATTCTTTATATTTATAGATTTTATTCTAATGAATTATTTTTTAATAGGATATGTTGTTACTTTTTGAATCTTTAGAAAGAGCTACTAGATATTTATCAGCATCATCTTATCCAACAATG